CCCTGATGTCGACCTTGATGTCCAAAATCGACACTTCGGATACCTTCACAAACACACTGGAGTTCGCGGCATCTCAGCTCATCTTCATAGAGACCGCTCACGCCGAGAGAGAGTCCGTCATCGACACTCAAAAGTTTGACGGACTTCGTCTAGCGGCTATGGATATGCTCTCACAGATCTTCCTCTTGAACCCATCTCAGCGCCAAGGAATATTGAACGATATATTGACCTCTTTGGAGAAGCTGCCGCTGGGCAAGCGAGCCAGGACATTCAAGCTGATCGATGGTAGCAGCATTCAGCCGGTTTCTGCACTGATCATGCGCTTGGTCCAGACAAGTGCGGGCAAAGTCGATGACACCAAGGGCAATAATCGATCTGCAATTGCCCAGTCGACGGAGGATAATCCTGAAGATGACGCTGAAGGTGCCTCCGCCGGAAAAGCCATCACCTTCTCGATTCGTGATGAAGGCCATGGCGCAGCCCAGCATTCTACAGCGATACAAGAGCTCAACTCCATTGCGTCGCCCTTGATGGACACGGCCGCACGCAATGCATCGTATGTGGTGCAGTTCATCGTCAACCGCGCACTCAAGTCGACAAAGTCGGGTGACACGCCCTACCGTAACCTCCTTGATCTCTTTGTAGAGGACTTCACATCGTGCCTGGATAACCCAGACTGGCCAGCGGCTGAGCTCCTTCTTCGATTGCTTACGACGATGGTTCGACAGCTTGTTGAGGGCGACAAGACAGGAGTTCCAGCCAAGAACATGGCGCTGGAGTTGCTGGGCATCATTGGGGCTTCGATCTCAAAACTCCGGGGTCACGTTCGGAAAACGGCCACCTTTCTAGACGCCAAGGATGCAGACGACCTAGGAATGTTTCTGTCCGACCTTGCAACGTCAGCACTGGAATTGAATTCACGACCCGAGCACATGGTCGCCTGGACCGGGCCATACCGTGCCACGTTGGAATACCTGCAAAACCGTTTTACCGAAGACCCGCATCTCGCCAGTGCCATCTCATTCATTATCTCTGACTGGGGGACCAAAGTCTGCAATGGCTACGATACCTTCCTAGATGACTTTGACGAACGAGACCAGGAGTTTGGCCGGCTCGCCTACAGGCTCCGGGAGATGATACAAGACCGCCACTGGCTCTCCAGCGAATTTTCTTTCAAGGAAGTCACTCCTAGCCAAGCAAGGCTGTCGTACTCAATCATGCTGTTGCGCTCTCCGCTTTGCGAGTCTTTCAGTGCGATATTAAATATCCTGCTCGGGTCCATGGCCAGCGACCAGCCAACTGTGAGGAGCAAGAGTCTGAAGAGCATCAACCAGGTTTTGGAGACCGATCCATCCATTCTGGATGGTGATTCGGTGGTCATCCAGCTGATTCTCAAATGCTCAAACGATTCCTCCACGCAGGTCCGAGACTCGGCGCTGGGCCTTATCGGTAAATGCATTGGTATGCGCTCGGCGTTGGAGGAAAGGATGACGGAAACGGTTGTGGAGAGGTTTATCGACACAGGCCCGGGAGTTCGGAAACGAGCCATGAAGCTCGCCAAGGATATCTACTTACGAAACAGCAACAAAGCCGTACGGAGCGCGATTGCGAACGGGATACTCCATCGTGTACAAGACCCGGAGGAGAGTGTGCGGGATCTGGCCCGCCAAGTGATTGAGGAGATCTGGTTCTCACCGTTCCATGATGGGGAGAACTCGGCGGTTTCGCAGATTTCGCTCGCAGACCATGTTGCGCTCATGGTTCAGACTGTGAAGCAAGGCAGCGTGAGCAATGTTCTTGACAAGGTCCTCCAGGCACTGCTAGGCTCCGAGTCGAAGGCCGCACAAGCGTCGCTGGAAGTGTGCACGAAGCTCGTTGCAAGCATGTTTGATCTGGTCGATAACCCGGATTCCGACGACCCGTCTGTCCCTTCAGGCCGTGATGCTTTGCAAGTCTTGATGATTTTCGCAAAGGCCGAGGCTAGCCTCTTCACCTTTGAACAGCTTCGCCTCCTCAAACCCCACATCACCAGCATTGGAAGCAGCGAGGACTTTGCGGTGTCCAGGGCCGTGGTGGTCATCTATCGCAGGGTTCTACCACAGCTGTCGAGTGCCCATGCTCCCTTCCTGGCGGATGTGCGCAAGGAGCTGGTACCTGCTATCACGAAAGTCACGCGAGCCTTGCTGGATGACATTGTGGCCTGTCTCTGGATCATCAGCACTTTACTCGAAACCTCGGAACAGCTCGCTCGTCTCGTTTCATCAAGCTTGACAGCGATACAAAAGATGCGCATCATGAGTCAAAAGGAGCCTTTCAACGAACACAAGACCCGGCAATTCGAACGATATACGCTCATTGTCGGCATGATTGGTAAGCATTGCGAGCTCGACAGCAATATTCAACTATTCAAAGCAAACTTTCCGAAATGGACCGGTACGTCGGTCTCAAAGCTGATGGTCGATGTCATCATTCCGTTTGCCGCGCCATCCCAGCCGTTGGAGGTCCGGAAAGCGGCCCTTGATTCGGTAGGGCTGGTCTGCCAGGCGTCTCCCCGAAATTACGATGCCGCAAACATCTATACGGTATTCCAACAAGTCTTCGATGAGCAAAACCCAGTTCTTGAGTCGATGATACTGCGGTCTTTCAAGGAGTTCCTCTTTACTGAGGAGAAACGCTCCGAGCAAGCGACCAAGGCAACCTCAGCAAATGGCTCCAAACTTGAGAAGAAGCGAGAGCTCACAGTGATCGGCGGAACCTCCTTCGACGATGTTGCCAGCGCTACCACACAGCGGTTCTTGAAAGAAATCATTCGAATTGCCACATCCACGCAAGATGATCACGCGTTCTTGGCAGTGGAGATCCTCGCCAGTATCAACCGACAAGGCTTAGTGCATCCAAAGGAGACTGGTGTAACGTTCATCACCCTGGAGACATCGTCCAATGGCCGCATCTCTGAGCTTGCGTACCTCGAGCACAAGGCGCTGCACGGCAAGCATGAGACTGTTGTCGAGCGCGAGTACGTCAAGGCCCTCCAGGCGTCCTTCGCTTACCAGCGAGACATCGCCAAAGACCCCCGGGGCGCCACCACAAACCCTTTCGTCCCCAAGTTGCACATGATGATGGATGTACTCCAAATCAGCAAGTCAAAGAACCGACAGAGATTTCTCGAGAAGCTCTGCAAACAGATTGAGTTTGAGGTTAACAAACTCGATACGTCAGAGGAAATTCCTCCACACGTGCAGTACACTCGCTTCATTGTGGAAAACCTTGCCTTCGTCGAGTACATCACCATCAAGGAACTGCACTCTACGGTCTCCATGCTGGAGAAGCTCGTCACGTCCATCGGCGCAACAGTAGCGCAGGCTATTGAGTCTGAGCTATTTCAAGTTCGCATGGACACTTTGGACTCGATGCCGTCGGCAGACATACTGGGAGAAGCTCAGCAACAGCCTAGCCACTCGCAAATCGATCTGAACAGGCTCCGCCAGCTAACATCAGCCTCCATGATTCTCCTTGCAGTATGGGAGGTTCGCACTCACCTCCGCCGACTTTACGGAATGGGCACGACCAGCCGCCGTGAGAGCAAAGGCAAAGCTCAGGGCAAAGACCTCAGCAAAGCACCCACGAAAGTCCCGAGCGTGACGGGCGACAAGGTCTGGGAGGAAATCTCCTCCATTATGACGTCACTTACGTCCCGCGAGCGTATGGTGCAGACCTGCAAGGCGTTTGTCGAGCTCATGAATGTGGACAAGGAGTTCCTCGTCCAGGATGACGACGAAGACATGAACGGCGACGAGCCCAGTACGCCAGGAAATGATGATGACGACGACGAGCATGATCAGCCGTCGGCGGGGAGAGGGAGAAAGAGAAAGGCCCTCGGAAATACTCCCGCTGGCGGCAAGAAGAAGCGTGCGCGGTCGAGCTCTCAGCCAAGGAAACGGGGAAGGCCTAGGAAACAGAGCATGGAGGCAAGCCAGCAGGATGCGGATGGGGAGCTTGATGATGGCGACTGGTGAGCTGCTCTCGACGCCTGATCGAGATGGATGTATTTTTTAGAAACTAAAAACGGGGTGTGTGTATGGCGCGGAGGAGGGTGGTGCTGGTAGAGCATGGTACACGGCACCAGGACGGATCTGGGTCGGCTGGGTTTGTTGGTCGATGGACACTTCGTCGAGGCGTTTAATTGCTTGCTTTGCTTTGCTCTGTTATGATCACGGCTGGCGGGATTTGTCATACATCTAACTGCACTCGCTGGCGCCGGGCGTTTTTTTTCTTTCGTTTCTGTTTTTCATCATCATTTTGGAGAGGGAGGGAAGGGACCGGGCTGGGCTGAACTGGGCTGGGGACCACAGTGGAACTTTATGATACCTTCTGCTTGCCTTTTTATCGCGGTAGCTCAAATAGGGCTTTGACCTACTTGCTGGTTGCTACTTTTCGCGTATGCAGCGGGAACATACTTTTGTTCTTGTAGCGGGATGCTCATTTTGGTTGTGATGATGGTGCGCATTGAGTCGGGCGAGTGCTTATGGGCGAGATGGTATTTCTTGTGTTTAGCGAGGGCCTGGCCAGCCCATCGAATTCTGCACCGTAAGGGTGGCGATAAAAGGCGACGTTGAGTAGCAAAAGATAGCGCATTGCATTAGTACGGATGCCAATATGACAATATCGATGGAGTTAATATTTCCTGCGACTGGCATGATCTCAAAAGATATCAAGCGTTTGTTTCGAATCGCGAGGTCAGGTGAGTGAGTTGATGAGCCACTTGCATGAGTTAAGTCGTCCACAGTGTGAAGAAAGAAAAGAAAAGGGGAAAACAAAGAAACCCCGGAACAGAACTAGAACAGCAAGTACACGAAAGAAAAAAACCACCGTGTATATACGCAATTAATTTCCTCACTCTGATGATCGGGTGTCAAGCAACATTGACCGCCGTCTGGTGGAGTGATGCGGCCTGTCTTGTACATAAGCTGGCTTGTGGGTCTTAACACTAAATCACAGCAGCCGTTATAGTATAGTGGTCAGTACTTCCGCTTGTGGATTGATGCGACAGCTCAAACTGCGATACGCGGACAACGTAGGTTCGATTCCTGCTAACGGCATATACCGTGTCTTTTTGCCATTTTTCTCATTCTCTTCTTATGTCCCCATGAATAGGGACGGACGTAATTCATTCACCGTTGCTTTTTTTCCTTTTACCTATAAGAGAGAGTACTTGAATCAAGTACTATCTATATACGTACGTATTGATGTGCGACTCTTAGGGGTCAATTGTTTTAAACTTTTATGTTGGTTCATTGTCTATCCAATCAACCACCGGCTGAGTCAGCGTAACAAAGACTCAAAGCGAGCAAACTTCTCGGTGTTCAAGTGCCTCTTGATAAATCTTCGATTAATGCTCATCTGGCCTTCCAAATACATATATACCTTATGTATGGACCGCGGACTAAATGTTGTGTAGAGCCCGCCCGGAACCACGCTCATTATCCAATGCCAACATACCCTCATTAGATAGAACCCGTCAAAATGGAAATACCAAGACCCGCACGCCATATATAAAAGTCATCCCAGATTGCCCACTAAAAAGACGACAGATCCCCAGTAAACCCGCCCGAGAAATCGTCGAAAGCATCCCCAAACTCAAAGTTCATGCCCTGCGTGATGTCGTTCATCTCGCTGTCGGTCATGGTCAGACCACCAAAGGCGCCGCAGTCCTGCTCCAATATGAAACCCAGACCGGACCCGCCGCTGGGCGCCATCAGCCCCAGCTTCTTGCGCATCATGTCTTTGAACTTTTCCAGCAGCACCGGATCGTCGGCTGGCGTCGTCAGTGTCTGCAGGATTTCCCTTGCGCGCGAGCGCAGAGCCTCGTCACTGGGGAACGCCACGGCGCCCAGGATCCCTGCCTCATTCGACACGTAATCATCGAGACCACTCTCAAGCTCGCGCGAGCAAAAGACGAGAGACGATAGTTGCGTACGACGTGATGGGGGGCTGTTTTTGGTGTTCTTCAAGGACTGCAGAAAGTCGTTTCCCGTGGCGCTGCCGGTTGGGAATGAGTTAAAGTCACCATGCGCTGTGACGGCCGCCTGCCCGCCGGTGGTCTCGAATATGGCTGGAGCGTCGGCGTTCGTGGAAAGCTGAGGAAACTCGGAGCCGCTTTGGGCTGCATCGTTCCACCAGCTGCCTTCCGTGAGGCCGGGAATCGATTTGTCGGTGAGAATGCCAACTTCGCGCTTGAAGCGGCAAAGCCACTCTGCGTTGTCTGCTGGTGTTTGGTTCCAGGGGTCGTCGCTGCAGAGAATTAGCATTTTGGGGTCTTGGGGCGGACGGGAGAGCCCCACTCATCATAGAGAATCCAGCGCGCCTGGTGTTGCAGCTCTTGGTCACTGGGAACGTGGCTGTTGGGGTTGTTTGCCGACATCGTTGCTGCTACATAGCGACCTAGCTCCCTAGACAACGTGCGGTAGCAGTTGGAATCGTTGACGAACAAGGATGGGCTGCCGGACGATGATGAACTGTTTTTGCCAGAAGAGTTAGGTGTGTGATATCGTCGCGATTCCGAGCACCAAGCTGGAGTCTTGGTTTGCACTGTGAGCGGTGTACTGCTGGTTGCACTCCCTGCGCTCGAGAACGACGACACATGTCGCTGCTTGAAGGCGCTCAGCCAGGCTTCGTTATCAGCGGCTGTTTGGTTCCATCCGTCGTCGAACTCGTAGATTATCATGCGAGCTTGTTTCTGCAGGTCGGCGTCGCTGGGCTCGACACCCATCGACCTTTGTGTGCGCACAAACTCGGCCAGATCCGACTCCAAACGACTGTAGTTGTGGATTGTTGAGTCAATCTTGGTAAGATCTTTGGACCTGTTCGCTTCATCACCTACGTCTTCCGAGCGTGGCAGGGTGGCTCGTTGCCTGAACCCCGCAAGCCACGTAGTCGAGCTGTAAATGAGACGAACCAGGAAGTTGGCAACGCCATCCGAGGGGGAACTGGACGACTCTTCCATACGACCAATGATCTTACATGCCTCTCCTTGTAGCTCCCTGTCTAAGGTAGTCAATCCAATGAGGCGATGAGCTTTGACAAACTCGCGGAGTTCCAGCTCCAGCGAATCCTCCTCGAATATGTTGTCCTTCCCGTTGATCTTGAGATGGGACTGGCGGCTGTCGGCATGCGATCTTATCGGTGCAAGCCGCGCTTGTAGTGCCAAATGATCTGAGGAGAGCAACAAGTCTCGCAGCCAGGATGGCGTCGATGATATTCCTTGCTTGGAAAGGACTTCAGCCCCAAACACTATTCGGCAAGCCTCGACTTGGAGCTCCTCATCATTGGGACTCTTTCCCTTGGTCGCGGTCTCATTGTTGATGAAGTACATCAACTCGCTCTTGATGAGCTCATACGCATTTCGTGCAGTCTCGGGCGAGCCTTGGGTAGCCTGGTAGGGAAAAGGCGTTGCACGTTCGTCGTGGATGAGGTCTATCAGAACAAATCAGCAACGAGAAAAAAGAGAGAAGGAAAAACCAGAGAGAAAATAAACGAGAATGAGAAGGGGACTCACACGGTGGGATCGAGTTCTCGACCATATCGAGTACTGGGGCGTCAAAACCCCAGTCTCCTTTCCAGTCGGCCATTGTATTTCCAGTCTTGAAGTGCTCTGCGAGGTGATCCACACGAATCGTCCATGTGTCCATAACAATGCCACAGAATCCGCAACGTGACCGAATCTCAGGGGTGGCCACTTTCCACTGGTTCATGGACCAGTCGGCGAACTTGACCCCGTGGACCAACTTCAAGTGCTGGCGCAGGTGATCCTTTCGATAAAAGGTGCGTTCTTCCAGCGTACGCTCCTGGCAGGCGGAGTGGTTGTGGCTCTCGATATGGTCTTCGTCAGGGTTTGCCAGACCACAGAAGACGCAAGAGATCTGGTTATCACTGTTGAACCCCCTTGGCCCGTCTGGCGTGCAGACCCAACGCTCAAGAGATAAATGCAGAGACTTCTCATGTCTCTGCCAGTCGTGCTTGGTTCTGAACGTTTCCGTACAGAAGGTACACATGAAAGTCTTGAGGGGTGCTGACAGAGAGACCTTTTCTTCTGGCTTCCTTGCCGCGACCTTCCTCCTTCGACGCCTCCGTCCACGGTCAAGTGAACCGAGCGAGCCAAAGGAGTTCCGAGACGCATGGGAATAAGCCGAAGCAAAGGAGCCACCGCTTGAGTGTGATGTATTGACACTGCTGATTGAGGAGACGGCGCATAGCGACCTGCCTGAGCCGTCGTCGGTGAAATTCTGGCTGTAGGGACTATTAAGACCCGATGACAGCGTCCCCGCAGAAGCGGTTACGGCGCGGGCAATGGCTGTTACCGATGCCGGTTCATTTTCCGGTGGCGAGATCTGCCACCGCTGAAGAGGGTTCATGTTCTCGAAGGATGCCGGCGTGCCCCTCCTCTGAGGGATGTCGATGGCATTCGAGAAGCTCCTGACGCCTGGGGACGTCGACCGAGGGGCAACTATCTTCCCCCTGCGCCGGGCGTTGGCTAGCCAGTTGGTGATCTGAGTCTTGTCGAGACCTGTCTGTTTCTGGAGCATAGTCTTTTCGTCCTCACTGGGGTAGGGATGCTTGTGGTGAGTAGACAGCCAGTTCTTCAGGATCTTGACCGATTCTCTCGAGAAACGGGCGCCGATCTTGGGCGCCGTCGTGCTGGCCGTTGGTACAATGCTCTCCTGGCTCGAGATCGAGGTCAAGCCGGGCAGGGTCGGGGTCGAGAGGGGAGCCGGGAGCTTCTCTGGCTGTGGAACTCCTTCCTGTGTAATGGCGTCGGGGTGGTCTCCCATCAGGGGCCATGGGTTGTGTGGGAACGCCGAGTCAGTAGGGACGTGGGTGGCGGGGGCCAGGCCGAAGCTGCAGGCACACCGCAAAGCTACACAGCTGGTGCAATAGCCCTTGTAGTTACCCTCGCGGATGCGTTTGCAGTCGTAGCCGCGCATCTGGCAGTGAGCGCAGGGTGCGTCTGGGGCTTCGACCTCGAGATACTCTTCCATGGCCTTGGGGGAGGTGGTCAGCTCCATGGCCGTGTCCATGAGTGTCATGGGATTGTTGACCTCGGCCGGGTCCAGCGTGAGGGGGTTGCTGTTCTCAAAGTGCTGCAATGCCCAGTAGGAGAAGTCGTCACCCTCGACGTTCTCAAGAACGAGGTCGAGATCGTGGAGCGGGTCGGCGGCAGCCAGGGGGCCAAGCTGATATTCAAGGCCGGCGCCTATAGCCGGGTCGGCTTGGTCCCAGTTGACGTACTCGTCCATTTCGGGGATAACTGGCATGCCACAATAGGGCGCGCGACACGAAAGGCGTCAAATGGAGAGAGCCCCTTATGGTCCGAGGCTGACCTTCGAAGGGCGCGCCGGATGACACGCTCGGAATCGGAGGGAAGGGGGAGCAATAAATATTGTTCAAGGGCAGCAATGCATCGAATGGAGGGCCCTGTCTTCGCCGAGGGTGTTGCAGACGGGTTGGAACAAGGAGGGGAGGCAGGTGGTGATTGACGATGACAGACAGATGAGGAGAAGGACAAAGATTCAGTCAATTAAGATGCTGGAGAGCACTGCTGGTTGATATTTCCCAGCTAGGTCTTTGCTATGGAAAACAATAGTTCTCTATGGCAATCTGGAGAGAAGGCAGGGAAGGCAGGTACATCCATTGCCTTCATCAATCTTCTCAAAGAGTCGAGTCACACTGGCGCTCTCACCCATCCGTTGGTGGGCTGCATGGTTGGCTGAGGTAAGTGGCCGTTTGGGTCGGTGTGAAGAATTGACGAACGCGCCTTTCGCTTGACATGTTCGCTAGCGGGGCGGGGGCATCATGCATCTGTCAACTGCCAAGCGCGAGAAGGCCCACCTCCAGCAACGGGCACAGGGTGGGTACCCTGTAAGCCGGCTCGAGTCCGGGTAGGATATGGGTTAGCTGAGGGGAGCCTTCCTTAACATTTCCCTCCTCCGTATGGTTATTCGGTTACGTATTCAGTCAATGAATCAAGCCGACTTGCACTCCCTTTGCAGGCTGCCCGCCTACTGACATCCGGGCAAGACCGGCAGGACGCAAGGACGTCGCC